TAAATGTGAGCAGAGGTGGACAAGGTGCACAATTACTTTAGTAAAAGTACAGATACTGCTGGTCAAATACTACCCCCATTACAAGGGAAAGTTGTAAAGACAGATTTTTACTTAAGTAAAAGTACAGAAGTACTTGCTTTTAAAAGTACTTAAGTACCAAAAGTAAATTTCCTTTTTTTTATGTCAGCACACTGTTTTATTATTGTTGTTTTTAATGCTTGCAATATCTTACAAGCCAGCAACGCAATTGTAGCTGTATAGCTTTACAATAGCAACACTGCTTTAACAAAAAAGCAAAACAGCAAGATTTATTTGACATTAAATTAAAAATGTAAAAAATGCCCTCTAATTGCTCTCGCGGTACTTTGATATCATACACAGAATGGTCTGTGCAGTGCTGCTTCGAGTCAAATGGCTGTTGTGTTTTGTTAGGAGACGAGCAACAGTTCTTCTGTGGCTTTATAGGTAATATTTTAATTTGCAAAATTAGACAATATTATTTCTAATGTATACCACAATATTAATTTCTTCTTATTAAATTGTTGCAAGTAAATATCACATTTGCAACTGGTCAATGTTCAAAACATGCTGGGAAATTACTTCACGTAACCCTACAAGAGTGATTACTAATAGGCTGTCTGCTAGATGGTAACAATTTTCTACTTCGAGGACCTTGATAGAAATGTAGTGAAGTGAAAAGTACAATATTTGTCTTTCAAATGTAGTGAAGTTAGTCATACGTTTCCAGAAAAAATTATACTCAAGTAAAGTACAGATAATTAAAAATTGTACTTAAGTACAATACTCAAGTAAATGCACTGTTACTGTTCACCTCTGAATGTGAGCTTAGCAAATGCCATTTGTCAGTCTTTTAACACATACCCATATGTTAAACTTTTTGTTAAGTTAGTTGTTAAATGTTAATAATTGTTTAAACGCATGTTTTTTTTGTTTAGTCAACTGAATGATTCTGTCCCTCCGTTAAAAGTCTGGGTAACTAAACCTTAAAAGATCCAAAAAGATTATAAAGGCATCGTAAAATGAATTCATATGATAATCGTTTAGTTTGGTTTTGTTTAGCCATCTTGTGAAGAGATATGATCCCTTGTTATGATAAATAGGTGTAATTTAGTGATTTATTTACATCTAAACAATGATCAACACACACAATTAGATCACATTACATTTGGTGAACATTAGGGCTGAAACGATTAGTGGGCATTATCCACAACGTCGAATAGTCATTTGTTGTCAAATGACCTAATGTAAATGCCTGCAATAACACCGTTTAACTAGTGTGGCGCTGTAGCTCAAGACTGTAATTCAATCCAACAGAAGACGACACACCGCGCAGATGAAAAAATGTCAGAGTGCAAACACGGCTGAACCAGTAGAGTGTGGGAAGGTTTTACAAAACTTCAAACAAAAAATGCTGTCCCGTGTAAAGCCCCTGATATACTAATGACAAAGTTCTTTTTCGTTTAGGGGTAAAAAGATGTTTGATCAAGCAAGCAAGTTTACAAGCAAGCGTTTTGCTGTTAGCAAACATCCCGATACTGCCGGCGCTGCTGAGAGTGGTGTTTAGAGTAATATTTTAATATATGCTGCACGCTTTCCTCTTAATAATAAAATAAACGCGAAGTAAAAATACCAGCAGTAAGAAAACAGCAATTAAAATGACCCTGTTATGCCGTTTTTCATGTTCCTAATATTGTTTTGGGAGTCTCCTACAACAGATTTACATTTGTTATCTCAAAATGTGCATTTATCACCTAATTTTTCAATGATTCGCAAACAATTCGTTCGAAGCGGTTCTAAGATTCAGTGTCTTTAAACCCCTCCTTTCCATGAGCCTACTCTGCTCTGATTGGTCAGATGACCTAGTCTGTTGTGATTGGTCAACTGTGTTCAGCGCGTGTCGGAAAAAATATGCCCATTGCCAAAGTTATAAAGTATAAATGTTATAAATTGTCTTATGTAGCATAATGCTACAGTGTGCACGGGACATGCGTTTTTGTTTGTGTAGTGTGGACTGAGATCTTTTCTGAAATGCCATTATGGACGAGGATCGTTTTCATTTTAAAATGCTGTTTTAAAACGTAAACGCACTAGTGTAAACCTAGCCTTACGTCTATGGGGGTTGAGACTAGGGGTGTAACGGTACACAAATATGACAGTTCGGTGTGTACCTCGGTTTTTATTTTTAAATAGATGATCAACACTCAACTTAAATTTTTTTTTTTTTTTTTAATTGTATGCAAACATGTAAATTGCACATAATGCAGTTTTTAAATTAATTTATAAATAATACAATTTCTAAGCTATTTGTTAAAATATATTAAATTACACAATGGCTGTCACAGCATGTTTCGTAACAGATTAATTTAAACATACTGTACATTAAATAATTAAGACTAACAGGTTTAGTAAAATATAATGTATATGGTGTAATATTTCGCAAAATGCTCCTCTTTAGACTTAATTTCTCTAGTGAACTAACGAGCTGTGTTTTATTTCCATGCTGTATTGTTGATGTCTTTCCGCGGTTGTAACACTGATTGATTGAGCAATTACATGAGGCATGAGATGTTCAGTCATGTTTATTCGCGTTAAAACTAGTAGTACAGAGGAAGGAATGA